CAAGGGCTGAGAAAACCACCACCAAGGGCAGAAACTATCCCCAGTTTCCCATTAGCAGCACAAACTGCTCCGAAATAAGGAGTGTGTCGGACCTTGCTCCAGAATGAGCTTGGAGGTGCACACTTTGATATCTACATGCTAGTAGTAGGTGCAGTAAGAGGCCTGGGGGACTGCTGTTCTTACATACTGGCCACATGCATGTGGTAGGTGCAGGCAGTGGGCAGAGGCCTCTAAAAGGTATCATCACATACTTTCCGCATGCTTGTGGCAGGTCCAGGTGGTGGCAGAGGCCTTCTGCAGCTATCCTTGCACACACTACAAAATGTCGCTCCCCACTGCTACTTACCAACCTAAGACACAACCTTTGCGGGTAGGTGGACAGTGGGGCCTACTTTGACTCCACAAAGCAAGGTTTTATTAGTCTTAGACTGGTAGAGAGATTTGTTGTTTGTTGTTTTGTTTGGTTTGATTTGAGGGAGTGGGTTTTCCCCCTTTTATCTCAGAGTCCTGAAGCCCTGGAGACATTGACCTAGGGCACAGCCCTTGTTTCAAATTCTGTGGTTGGTCATATCTGTTGAGATATGAGGCATAAACAGAGTACAATCTGCAGGGAAAGAAGTGGAGATGGGATGAAGGGTAAGAACTACCAATGCAGAGGAATCTACTAAAAATTGGAGTGACCTCTTAACAGAGGACTGGAAGCTTTAACGGCCCCAAGAACAACAACAACAAAAAAAAAAAAAACCAAGATGAACCTTTATTGGCTATTAACTATATGGTGGCCACCTTATCTATTAATGCTGTGAAATAAGCAGCCATTGTTAGTCTTACTTTTGCAAATGAGGCAATGGTATTATAAAAGAGATGTCACTTGCCAAAGGTCACAAGCTAGTAAATGGCAAGGTGACACTTCACAAACAGGCTTTTCGGACTCCAGGATATCTGTGCCTACTAGTCAAAGAAGGAAAGTGTGTGGTTCCACCTTCTAACAGGCTAGGGTGAAGGCACAACTCTCCCCAGGGTAGCTAAAAGATCTCCAGTTCTTCCAGGTTTCCCCAGACAGACCTCCTGCAAACCTGCGGCTGTCTGAAGAGGCTCCCAACACAATGACTTTGACCTGGAACCATAAGGAAGATGGTGATGCCCACTATGTCACCCGAAGAGGGATAAAGGTAGCCTCCACCTGGTTCACTGCAGCTCAGTGTGTCTTCAGCAGCAAGTGCATGGTGACATGGCAAGAAATGCTCCTGCAGACTGGAGGTCCCAAATGAAATGAATGGGTGAGAGGCACCCACTGCACTCCAAGGATACCTGGCTTGTCAATAAGGACCAGCGTGAATATTGGACTGGAGGCCTGCTCAGGAAGTCCTCATAGTGAAGAGGACTATAGATAGGGTCACTAGAGGGTACCCAAGAATTAAGGTCAGAGAATCAAGAGTTAAGATCGGTTATCACTTACAGCTCTTAGAGAAAGTCAGCAGAGATATTATCTTGTGGGTTCTTTCAGCGGTGTGGCTGGTACGGAAGTGGGAAGGTGCCCTTAGGGGCCCAGATAATAGTGAGGGAGAGGAAGATTACAGAGCCCATTGGAAGCCTGCTATAAGGAGAGGGCGGGGTAGAGGTGAAGGCTGGGACTCTGGAAAACGGTGGTGGAGTCCAAAGGGATCGAGATAACACCAGGAAGCTGGGACTGAGGGCAAATGGGGCAGAGGACAACCTACAAGCTCACCTGACATAGGGGAAGTGTGGAGGAAGAGTTCCATGCTAGGATAAAGAGCTGAAAATACCAGAATCCAAGAAGTGGGTACGGAGAAGGCGTCTGGACTCCCTGAGTCTGGGAAAACATAAAAGCCTGTGAGACTGCTTTGGCTAGTCAAACCCTGGAGCAGGGAGGGACACTGTGAGTGCACAGGAATCCTTGAGAACTGTGCACCTGTGGTGGTACTCGCTGTCAGTTCCAGCACGTGGGAGACAGAGGCAGGTGGATGTAAGTTTGAGGCCAACCTGGTCTACACAAGATTGTGTAACAGTGAGACTGTTTCAGAGAAAGAAGGGGGGGAGGGGCAAAGAAGAGTACACAGTTGAGGCTCCCATCATTGCAAACATCTGAGACTATCACGTCTTCCTGGGTATCTTTTGAGCTCTAACATGAGGGTAACTCACCGCTGCCCATCCCACCTATGCAGTGAGGACCTGAGCCCCAAGCTGAAATCCTATGAGCAAAGCTGGCACAATGCACCCTGCTTTCTGATCCACAGTGCTATGGCCAGAACTACACCATGACCAGCACCTTCCTTGGGAACCCATGGCTCACGGTGACTATCTTCCAAGGGTGATGTCAACATCTCTGTCAATTCTAAGTTCCGGCACCACTTTCCAGCAGTGTATGCACCCTGGTCGTCCCCACCTGAAAAACAAAGGACAACTGTGGACTCTGCACACTGCTAAAGAATCCACTAGGCAAGGACCACCGCAGCTGCACGCTCACTGTCTATGGCGAGAACACCAACAGGCACGCCTGGAGGGAGGACATATCCATCCTGTCAAAGGGCAGGGGCCCAAACCGCCAATCACTCTCTTCAGTTGGCTAGGGCTGTGTTTTATTGGACCTACCATCAAGTAGTACAAATATTCTCCCATTTTACCAATGTCATATATATTGTTCCTGGCCTCTGAGGATGTGGGGAGTTCATGATCCCTTACCAAACTGTGACAGCACACAGTGATGGACTGAGACTCACTTTTTACAAAGATACTGGTCATCAGGTTTAAACCAGACTGACCCATCACAATTTGTCAGCAGGGGTCTGGAAGAAGTCTGTATGTTTACAAATCTTCTCGAGTGATTTTGATACATGTCAATGGCCCAGGGTAAGGACAGATGAGAGGCTCAAACACGGGGAAGCATGAAGGGGACCACTGCCCTCACACATGCCTGTCTTGCTTTGGCTTGTGATGCACGTTTGAGACAATACTGTCCTTATTCTCATCCAGTCTGCTGTCTTCACGGCTACAGGGCTAGCAGTGTGACCCCTGCTGTGTGAAGCCAAACTGCCAGGCTTTGTTATTCAAGTTCCTCCCAACTTCCCCTCAACCCCCATGTTAACATCCCAGCAGGCCAGGTACCCCACCCCACCCCGTTCCCTATCTCTCCAGTTTCGTGTTCTGTCACTCCCTCAAATTCTCTGTGGTGATGCCCTTCCATGGTTGTGGTCTCCATGGCTAGAGATCTTTATTCAGCCCATTAAAAATGTCCTTCCTTGCGGGGAAGGATGGTATCCCAGTCTCCCAAGCGCTCACCTAAGTGTCTGGCACTAAGAGAATAATGATTGCAGAAGGGCTTCTGAACAGTGTCAGAACTAAGCCAGGAGGGCATGGGTGATGGAGGTGGCGGATCCAGCTTCCATGCCACAACCAGAGATCCCTGACAGTCACTCCAGTTGGTCTTAGAACATGGATTGGGGCAAGCCACCTTTCTGTTTCCCCACCTCCTGGGTTATGAGGAAGTGCCTAACACAATTCCTGGAAGAAAAGAAGAATGACTAGATGGCAGCTTTGACCCCACACACAGCTAATCCAGCTCGGGAGACACGGGGACCAGTTCTCAGTTCCTCTGTAGCAACTCTCAATTCAGCGATGTCAGATCTCTCGTGACTACTAACAAAGCATTTGCTTTGATAAAGATGGCAAGTCAAGCCTAGCTTGGATCATGGAGCATCTTCAGATGGCGGGGCAGCTCATGCAGGCTCCCGCCCGGAGCTCACCCTCTTGCTCCTGAGTACAGTGCAACAGGAACCCCAGGGAGGAACACAGCCAACACATGCAGTCACCTTGGGGCTTCCCTTCCTTCTTCATACACACACCCACCCTCCCCTCAGCACACAGGCCAGATCCTGCTGCCTTCCTCCTGCCCATCCTGCGCCTTTCTATTTCTGTACGTCACGGGGGTCTGTGTGTACATTCTAGAGTGTAAATGGATCAGGACCTTGCTCCCTTAACATCCAAGCCACCCTCCCATCAAAGCAGGACGGAACTGCTCGTGTGGTTTGCTGGTTTTAAACACGTCTTACGGTAGGAAACTTCCTTGAGGGATTTTAAACTTGAAGCTGGAAATGATGGCGCCCTGAGCCCTGCTCCTCTCGGTCCATGTTTCTCTGTTCTCCATCCCCACGAGAGGTCTCTGTAAAAACTTTAGGTTGGGTCAGCTCATAGTAATAGACAGCCAAATGGTAGAGCATAATTTTAGCACGTGGAATGCCTTGGGTGTGATCCCCAGCACCGTTCCCCACCCCACCCCCCCCAAAAAGGTTTGGAAAGCCATAGATTTATTCAACACCCATGAGGTTTGCCTCTCCTATATTACAGTCCTCCCAAAGGTACAGCAAACATATCAACAGTATATTCACCACTTCTCTTCTCTACTTCAGGACTAAGTACTGCCTGTTACAATCCACATGCCTCTGGAGTACGGCAGAACAGTGTTCTGCTGAGGCTTCAGATCTAAAGGAAGAACCAGCAGATCTAATCCCATTCCTCTTTGCTGCTCAACTAAACCCAGAGTCCGAGGAGGAGATGATACAATAGAAGTCTGCGTCACCTAGAGAAGCAGTTGGCCTGGCCTGTGGACAGGAGAGAGGGCAATCTAGCAACTGCATAGCTAAGGGTTACCAAGACAACTGAGCACCTATACCCAGGGGACTATGTCAAGGACAAGGGCAGACAATAGCAAGACACTACCCATCCCCCACCCTCTTGAACTATAACCGTGTATACACCCACCCACACACACACAGAAATGACCAGGGAAGTGAGACTCACTGAAACAAGTAATGTCAGCACAGCCAGAGAGCCAGCTAGGTGCCAAGATGTCCAAGCCAAGACAAGAAGACAACTGTGACCCAGGCTGTGAGGACAACCAGGACTCCTGGCACCGTGCCCTCCACTCCTGTCCAGCACAGGCACGTGCCACACAGGCAGACAAGTTAGGAAGCCAACAGCCCTTGAGTTTTAATTTAATTTTATTTTTTCATACGGGCAGTAGAGGGTGGAGTTACCCCACCCTTACTCCCCTTGCATTGACTGTGCCTCGGGTCGTGAGACCCCAAATTGTCAGAACTTACTCCCAGGGCAGGAAGAAAGCATTGCTGATGGTGTGCTAGGGGAGGGCCCCCAGCCATGAGCCAGGTTAAGCACCCCTCAGGAGCTCTCCGAGGCCCACTCCTTTAAGCCTTTTACAGACAGCAGGACAAAGACATACAGCTGGGACCAGCCCCTTCCTTTGGCATGGTTCACCCTAGCCTGGGGACAGAGTCTAAGGGTGATGGCATGAGGCCTGAGCTCTGGAATGGCCTGTGAAGGAAGCTCCCCTTACTACCTCATAGACATCCGCTCAGCACATGAAGACCGAGACTGGCAAAGTAACAAGGCTAGACAAAGGAAAACTAGGTCCACCTTCAACCAATCTTCCCAGTGGGGAGCCTGGGGAAGGAGCTTCAAGCTCTGGTCCTGGGTCATCTTGGGAGAGAAAAGGTGGAAGAGGGTGAGCTTGGCAATTGGTCCTAGGCATAAGAGATAGTCACATTCTTCCGACTAGAAAAAAAAAAATGAGGGGTCAAAAAGCACCATCGCCTTCCAGGAGGGCTCGGACAGTCCTGATGGGACGCTGAGAGGTCTGCTCTGAATTAGGCGAGGGTATGAGGCTGCCTCTTTGAGCTCTCAGTGTTCTCCTGGGAGTGCTTTCCTGGGAGTGCTTCCTGCTTACCCCTCGACGCCTGTCACTTTCCCAGGAGGTGCCGGCTGATCCAGCTCCTGCACACTCCCAGAGTCTGGGCTCCAGCCCCAGGAGACAGGTGAGCAGACCCCAGCCCCTTCTTCAGTTGGCCTTGCTCAGTCTGTAGTCTTCCACCGGCTCCCGACTCTCGACAGCTGACAGGGCAATGAGCATCTGAGCAGCATAGTAAGTAGACATGATGAGTGCCCGAGAGTAGGGCACAGGGAAGCAGAACTTGTTGAGAGCGATGGTCAGGTCTGAGATGATGAAGAGCAGCGCACCGCTGCCGGCCGCCAGCTCCGTCCATCGCCACGCTGCCCCAACCAGTCGCAACCCTGCCATAGCTCTCCAGCCCATGAAGCTGATGAGGGCCACATAGACCCCTACCAAGTAGGTGAAGGCACCTGACAGTCCTGGGTAGAGCAGAGCATAGCACAACCCGGACAGCACTGCAATCACCAGACCTGTCCGGAGAGCCAGTGGCCGCATGCCAAAGGCCGAAGCATAGAGTATGTGTGTCACGGCAAACATCAGCAGACCTGGAAGAGGGAGGGGATAAAGAATGCTAAAGGCAGGCCAGGTGACCAATGAGTACTTGTGTGAAGGGAATGGGACTGGGGATAACCTAGCAGCTTTGCTCTGGGAATAAGAGGGGGGTAAGGAAGACCTTATAGTTTTAAATTCACCCTCACATGCTCCCTTAGAGAACTGGTCCTCCTCCAACAGAAGACCGAAGTCCCCAGCCTCGGAAACCCTCCAACTCCCTGTCCCTTCTTCCAAAGCCTTTCCCTACCCCAACCCCAAGACCCTCTTTCCTCCAGCCCCAGGGACCCTCCCAGGCAACTCCTATAACTACTGACCATACTCAAAGTAGCCGTGGTCCTGCCAGATGAGGAAGGCATCACCCACAGCAGAGAAGACGAGCCCCACAAAGATGAGGGAGGCACTGGGGTGGGCCAGCAGGAATCGGAAGCCATGGGCCAGAAGGAAAAGCCAGAGGCAGAAGATGGGTAGGCACTTGATAAGGGCACTGACCCACGACGGATTGGATGAGGGTAGCCAGAGCACAAAATATACACAGGTGGCCTTAAAGAAGGGTACCAGTTTGGGTCCCTCGCTCTTCACCTGGAAGAGACAGGACAAGGGCAACACTCAGAGATGGGAGGCACAGAAGCTCACCATGTAAAACCCAGCACCTTTTTCCCAGGGTACAAGGCATACACTAGCCCTTTACGGCTCAGAACAGGGAGGACTGTCAGAGAAACCTAGCCTGTCAGGCTCCGACCAGTCAGCAGGATGTGAACAAAGTCATTATCATCCTGAGGCTCGATTTACCGGGACAGGCAAGGGCTTCACTGTCCCGTCACTCTTGTCCACTCTTGGCCCTTGGGCTGGGCCAGAACATTCACGGGACCACCAGTGAATATTAGGATACCCCCTTCTACAACCTAGTGCTGTTCTCTTCTGGCTTCCACCCCACCACTCCTAGAGGGGTCCCTCAGCACCGCTCCCAGTGGTCAGTGTCAGCGTCGTCAGTTCCCAGCTGTGTGGGATTGGAGCACTGTCAGAGAGAAAGCACAGAAACACACTGACTGACTAACTCATGATCCCAGCTTTGGAGCCAGGACTCAAGCTTAGAGCCCTGGCAACACCAGGTGAGGGCCAGGAATGTAGGACAGTGACAGTACCTCTGACCCACATGCTTTCCGTCCTGTCCAGTCTGCCCCTCAGCTTCCACTCTACCTGCCTTGACTAAAGGTGGCACCAGGGACAAAGAGAGGTGCTAGGGATGCTAGGAGGAGAAATAGATTTGTATTGAGAGCAATAAACAGTGCTTGAAACACCAAAGATTTCCATGGCTAGGGAGAGGGGGTGCTGGCCATTTCTTTTCCCAGAGAATAAGAGCAACTTGAGGCACTAAAGACAGGAAGGGGGGCGGGGAGGGCTTCTTGTCCCAGCTTCTGATCTGGAGCCAGCAGACAGGCTGGGAGGAGATGGGGAACTGAGAGGGGGAAGTTGGCGCAGCTGACTGGGTCTCAGTTGGATTAGGGGGAGGGCAGCTAAAGAAAGGTTTTAGTCAAGGCCACTGCAGGCGCAGTCCGAGATGGGGGAGGAGTGTCTGCAGATGTTCTGTGATCTCCTGAAGCTTCTCTTGGGTTTGCTCGTTCAGGTGAATTGGAGGGCGAATTGAGGGTGAATTGGAGTAGCTGGGGTTCCCTATAGACCCCAAACTGCACCAAAAGTGCTCTGGCTGGGTGAGCAAGCTATTCTACACAGGACTGTGAGGACACACTCAGAGTCCCAGGCAATCAGGTACCTGATGCTACTGGGAAAGGGTAGAGAAGATACATACATACAGTGGGTCCAGAGAATAACCTGCCCTTTTTCTGCCAGCAGTGAGAGACAAGAGCAGAGTTGACACTCCCTTCCCATGGAAACTTCCCTTATCAGGAATAGTCAGGGTGAGGGCACAGTTGAGGGAGGAGATCCGCAGGGATGCCCAGCTCCACCTGTCAGCCCTCGAAACATCAACTTTGCTCTTCCCTCATCGCCCAGACCCATATTTTCTAGAAGAAACTAGCAGTAGGTGGTGAAATCATGGCAGAGAAGCCAGCCTCAGAAGGGTGGGGAGACAAGACAAGGGTTAGAGTTGAAGTTTGAAAAGAAGGTCAAGCCAATAGAGAGCGGTCCACCGTCACCTAGGTCACCTAGCGCCTTAACAGCACTGCTTAGACTGAGGCGTCAGCTCCCGCGCCTACAAGATAACGTGGAAACGAACTTGGGGCAGGATTCTCAAGAAGTCTTCCCCCCACACACACCCACTCCGACACACACACCCTCTCGAACGCTTCTCTGAGGTCCCACCATGCCGAACCCAGAGGCCTGCTGCGTCCAGTCCCAGGCCAAGACCCGAGGACCCGCTCCAGACACACATGGATCAACAAAGTCACGCTTCCGAGTCACGTGCACAGTGTTTTCCTCCCTCCCGCGGGCAGACGGGGGGCGCGCGGAGGAGGGGTGCCGCGTGAGTGAGGAGCAAGGGACCGTGACAGCCGCGCTTCCCCAGGAGGGGCACCAGCTTCCTCGGCTCCCCAGACCGCCCAGCTGGCCGCTGCCTCTTCCCAGGCCCGGGGGAGCTCCGGCCGCAGCGAGCGCGCTCGCGCACTCACCACAGTGACCGGGGACACCATGGCGGCGGCGGCGGCGGCTGGCACCCGCTCCGGATTGCACCGCCGGGACGCACCTAGGGCCAGGTGAGCAGACGACGGAACAAAGCGGGGTGAAGTACAATACCTCCCGCGCGCCTGGCGCTCGGAGTACTGTCTGTAAACCGTACGACGTCACCACGGATACAGCCAATGAGCGGGCCGGAGCCTCGGATGGGCGGAGTCCGGCTGGCGGCGCCGGCTGGGCTCCCCCTGTTTCTGCGTTGAAAAGGAGGTCCTCCCACCCCGGGCGCGGGCGGGGCCTCAAGGCCACGCCCTTTCGGGAGGCATGCCAGGACATCCCGGAACGTGACCGCGGCCCCCTCGGCTAAGGAGCCAGCTTGGCCCTGGGAGCACCGCGAGATGCATCCTTTCTTAACTCCGGAACAAAAAGCAAAGATAGATTCTCGTCAGCCTTTAAACAGGCAGTCTAGGCGGTCGCAATTCCAATAAGACACAGCTTTAATAGTGTAGTCACAGGTCCCAGTGGCCACGGGAGAGTCAGCAGACACTCAACCTTCAGCATGGGAAGAGATACACATTCGGGCACACAATGTACATAAACTATACAGAATCGTAGTTACATTAAGTGCACTGAACCAGTGCAGCTAGGACGGCAACTGTGGAGTTGACCACCATCCTTCACCTACTATTAAAGCCGCGGGTGAAAGAAAGCAGCGGCCTGTGTGTGGACCCCAGTAAAGGCTACAAGCACTATGTTGCCTTGATCACACACCCCTCACAGCTGGAACAACAGTGGCAGACAAGAGCAAAGCAGGAATGGCAGCAAACCTGAGCGTGCTTAAGGACCCAAAGGAATGTGAGCTGACTGCCACAAGTCCAATGTAAATGGTTGTAATACTGGTGGGCTGGAGCATGTTTAGAAGTATTGTTCAAAACTGGATGGATTGGCAGGGAGCCCATGGATTGCAACGCTAGAGATGTCATGGCCTCTGCCCTCTCTAGCCTAGATTTCCTCATCTGTAAAATGAGTGGGTGACCTCTAAGGTTCTGCCCGGTCCAGACCTGTTGTATAGGATGAGGAAGGGGAAAGGTTGCTGGTGTCAGGAAATTCAAGTCTGTCTAGGAGATTTCATGGAAATAGAGCTTTCCAAATTCCGCAGGATACACACAGAGCTTTAGCTGTGGCCTTGGCTGTTGGGAAGGGGAGGAACACTGGCAGCTTCTCAAGATGGGGTTACCAGTCCCCTGCCGGCCTGGAGAAGACACAAGATGCTTCTCCAGTTATCCCTTCCCACACAGTCATTCTCTTTGTTTTCCCTCCAACCGTTCCCCAGCTATCCCTAAGCCCTAAACTACTGACCTAACCCTCTCAGAGAAGGACAGCCCTTTTTGTTTTGGTTTGGTTTTGGGTTTTTTTTTTTCTGTTTTTGTTTTTGTTTTTTGTTGTTGTTGTTGTTGGTGGTTTTGGTTTTGGTTTTGGTTTTCTGAGACAGGGTTTCTCTGTAGCTTTGGAGCCTGTCCTGGAACTAGACAGCCCTCCTTTTGTAACATTGTTAACAACCTGAAATTCCAGGTAGGGTCCATGAAGGGTGACAGACAAGGTTTGGGGAAGGGGAGACGCTCACCTGATCTCTAGGCAAATTCCAGTCAGGAGCTTCGAGGAGACCACCTACCTTTCAGAGTGAGAGATGAGAACAGCTGTCCCTGCGGCTTTCATACGCACCATAGGGATGTGTGTGTTGCTGGGGAAGAACTCCAAACTGAAAGAACATGGACATGCCGCCCTCCCTGTTTGTCCCCCCTTTCCTGGGGCTCACTGAGGTTGTAGCTGGTCACACGTCACTCTGCCCTTGGAGCCTCAGTTCCCCATGAACAAGTTATAAAATCATGACATACCTTCCAGTTTCGGGCCAAACCGTCCCTGTCACATAGGGGAATTGTCAAGTAGGCGTGTTTTTGTTCCTCTGGACCCCAGTTTGTCTAATTCTAAAAATTAAAGTGTAAACTTTTAAAAGGATTTCTCTCCTGGGGGTGGGGTGGGGTGAGTGGGGTTGAGGTCAGAGTTGTCAGAACTCCCTGGAGGGGGTATTACGAGCATCTGTGAGTTGCCTGGAATGCCTGTTGGGAACAGAACTCGGGTCCTCTGCAAGAGCAGTGTGTACTGCTGCTACCCATGCGCCATCTCGCCAGCCCCTGAGAATGTGAACCTTATTAGTGGTTCACAAAACCTGGGGCCAACCAGAATTACTTGAGAAGTGTTTTTTAAAATATGTCATTTCCCTACCTTAGCCCTGCTCATTCACCGGTTTTCATAAGCTTCATATACAAATACCTAAATATACAGAAAAGCATAAAGCCTGGAAATGTCACTCACAGAATAGTACTACCAGTGGGCAAAGTAATTTCATAAATAGTGGCCCACAGAACCGTGGCATCGTTTCTCCATGCTGTTTCTCAATCTATCCTCCTATCGTTATTGTTGTTTTGTTTTGAGAAGAGTTGTACTGTATAGCTCTGGCTGACCTGGAACTCTGTAGGCGAGGCTGGACTTGAATTCACAGAGACCTGCTGCCCAGATCCGTTCTTGGTCCTTCTCTCTTCCCTTTGGAGTCCAAGCCTTAGACTTAAGCACAGTGCTGGCCAGAAACACCACTTCTAGCTAGTTGAGTTCAGCTGTCAGAGGCCTATCGGAGTGGGAGGAACACATGGACAAGGTCCATTGGACCAGCTGAGAATCCGCATTTCTAGAAGAAATGCTCCTCCCTGGCTAACTCAGGCTGTCTTCCTCAAACCTCAGGCTTTGGCAGTGTGCCTCTGGACCAACGACTGGTTTAGTTACCTAATCCTCGTCTTTCTCTGCCTGCTTGAGCTAACTGAATTTCTGCCCTGCCCTAATCTTATCTTTGGAGACAAAATGCCCAATGGCCAGAAGTCCCTCTTCAGGTGGTTAACTCAAACCGGTCTGACCTAAGATGGATACTAGAGTGACTGCCCGTGACTTCTGACTTCCTTAAGATCCTATGGCTGGGTGCTAAATGACACCTCTCAGCAGGTGACAGGTGAGCAGAAAGGGCCAGAGAAGGAAGAAAAATAGGGGCATTTGGATTCCTGGAAAGTCTTTAGCAAGCATGGGAAAGATAGGGCTCTTTCTGCCCTTCATTAGCTTACCCCTGCCTTGTTTCTTTCCCCCCCAAGACTGTAACTTCCTGACCCTAGCCACTGGAGCAGCTACTGTGCAAATTTAGTTCCCACTCCTAGTCTTTGCCAAACATTTCCTTCCCTGTTCAGTGAGCATTCAATTTTATTGGGAACTCTGCAACTCCAAGAGGGAAAAGGGAACTAGGTGTTAGCAAGAGTTTGGCAGATCTACCCACACCTCTACAGGTAGTGACCGACTCTCTTCAATTCAATCCTCTAGATATTGGGCCGTCACTGACGCAGACCCTGAAAAGTGTGCTTTCCCTCAAAGAGACGATGTATCCTAATTTTGTTCATATGGGTAACATATTTTTATTCAGTTTTCATTCCGTGCACTGATTCAGTCCACTGAGAGATATATAAAGTGTGTCTGCACATGTGCCGGCTCTCCTGTTAGATGCCATCGTGAGAAACAACGAGTCGAAAACAGCCTGTGAGCTCACGGAGTTCACAGCTGACTGCGGGCGGACGCGTCAACAAACAGCTGGTGTAGCAACTCCAGTCATTGCGTTATGAAGCCGGGTGTGGTGTCACATACCTGTAGTCCCAGATGCTCAGGAAGCTGGTGCGGAAGGGTGCCTGGAGCCCACAGAGTCAGGACCAGTATGGTCAGCACAGTCTCAAGAAACAAAAAAAAAAAAGATGACAATCATTCAAGTATGAATGTATGTGACAGCTGACATACAGAAGACATCAGAGTAATTCATTGTACTTGTCACAGTAGAGGAAGATGGGGCTTAATCTAGAAGAAGAAGTTAGGCTTCCTTGAGCAAGTGCCATTGAGTACAACCTTCCAGGAAGATGGAGTCAGATATGCGCAGAACAGCACAAGAGACACACACGGAATCAGGGACAACCCTGTAGCCTGGGAGAGGGAGGGTGATGCTGTGAACTAGGGAAACTGGAGAAGAAATAAGAGGAGCCAAGTCAGGAAGGATCCTGAAGGTTCTACTAAGGAGTTTGGACTTAGGCCGGTTGATGCCTATTGTTTTCCCGCTATTAACTTCCCTGGTTAATCCTGGCTCTCTAGATCTGGTCCAGACTCCCCAGAGCACACCTAACCAGCTTTAAGATCTTCACTTCAGTCAGGCGGTGGTGGCACACACCTTTAATCCCTGCACTCAGGAGGCAGAGACTTGTGGGTGGATCTCTATGAGTTCAAGGCCAGTCTGGTCTACAGAGTGAGTTCCAATAATGCAGGAAGGCTACAGAAAGAAAGCCTGTCTCAGAAAAACAAATGAACAAGGGGCTGGAGAGATGGCTCAGTGGTTAAGAGCATTGCCTGCCCTTCCAAAGGTCCTGAGTTCAATTCCCAGCAACCACATGGTGGCTCATAACCATCTGTAATGAGGTCTGGTGCCCTCTTCTGGCCTGCAGAGATACACACAGACAGAATATGTATACATAATAATTAAATAAATAAATATTTTTTAAAAAACAAACAAACAAACAAAAATAGAATCTTCGGCTTCACTCCTATTACCCTCCCACTTAACCTGAAGATCTGGAGAAGAGATATTAGAAATATCACAAGGGTGTGACATGAAATTGTGATAAAAGTATACGAGACTAGGTTGATCAGGTTGTTGGGGTGGTTTGATTATTTGCTTGTTTGTTTTTGAGACAGGGCCTCACTATGTTGTAACTCACTGTATTGACTAGACTGGCTTCCAAAGATCCACTTGCCTCTGCTTCCCCCGTGTTGGGATTAAAGGCATGTACCCTTTAATCCCAGTGATAATATGCCTGACCCAAGTGATAGGATTTTTTAAAGAGAGATGAACATGTGCCAGCCAAATGGGGGGTGTTTGGAAGGCACTAGACACCAAGCTAGAGCTCAGACCAGAAGTAAAGACTTTCGAGTATAGACTTGCGAGTCACAGCCGATTGTTTCCTGGGTTTTGGACTAGGGTCAAGTGCATAAGTGATAGCCATAC